TTTAGCCCACTTAGGCTGTATTACTTTGTTAGGGAAGCCTTGTCAAATTCATACACCACAGTGCTAGGCATTAGGCCTGTATTCAGATCTGTGCTGCCTTTTCCTCCTGCCCTTTCTGCTCTTGGCATCTCGCGGTTTTTCTGTTTCATAGCTGTTAAACACTGGGGTGGAAAAATGAGAACCCATTGTGCAAAGTAGCACAGGTCCACTTTGAAAGGGCTGTGCCAAGGCTGTGACCCAGGACGTTTTCAGTGGCCATGTTTTCTTTGTGTTCCTGTACCTGCCTCCAACTTGTGAAACTCTCCCAAGAAGAGTGGTGCCGTCCATGCTAACACCACGTATTGTTCATATCTAGATACACATGCTTACAGGGCTCATCACTGTGGATTTTTTATATGTCTGTTTATACTTTTACCACACCCACGGTAGAATGGTGAATTCAGAGGCCCTGGCACTGCGGGCATAAATTATTCATTTCAGTAACTCCAACACCTACTGCTATTCCTGGTTTCGTGTCTGAATTTCTTGAATGGATATATTCAACATCAAATATATTAGACTTGAAATAAATTAAAACCCAGTTATAAATACACCACCAATGACCATGAAACAGAAAGTGTAAAAACCATTGTAGAATGTGCTAAAGTTATTACAAGTGATCTAGAGTAGCTATGGGACTAGTAAACGAACACTTCACACAAAGGCAGCAGGATAAAGGTGAAAACAGGAGGGGCAAGATCACGTAGAAGAAAGGAGAGAGGGGAGGGACGGAGAGTATGGTAGTGGAGGGGAAAATGAGCTAGGGATTAGAAAAAAATGGAGAAAAGATTTCCCCGTAATAAAAGGTACACAAATAAAATTAGGTAACGGGGGCCGATGTCATGGATGGCTCAGCAGGTAAAAGCTGACGTGGCTGAATTCCCAGAGCCCCTGGTTGAAGGTGAGCGCCAACTCCAGCACGTTCTCCTCTGACCTCCACAAACACAGACACACACCCACGCTCTCTTCCTAACCCCCAAATATTAATGATGATAACAGTAATTGAGCTAAATGGGAGGTGATCAAAAATAAAATAACGCCTTTAATCCCAGCACTTGGGAAGCAGAGGCAGGCAGATCTCTGTGAGTTCGAGGCCAGCCTCATCTACAGAGTGAGCTCCAGGACAGGCACCAAAACTGCACAGAGAAACCCTGTCTTGAAACCCCCCCCAAAATAAATAAATAAATAAATAAATAAATAAATAAATAAATAAAATACATACATACATACATACATACATACATAAAATAACAGGAGTATTTTTTGAAAATGAATAAAGCCAAATACTATTAAAAGTGGGGGGAGGGAAAAAAGAAAGGGACAGTGTAAACATGTAGAAAGGAAACTACGGAAAAATAATACCCAATGATGAAAAATGTTTAAACAAAAGCTAGGTCAATGCCTGACAGGCAATAACGGACAAAACCATAAAAACATATGATAGACATTTTATTTCTCTATGTGGAGGACAACAGAGGCAACCCTGGTGGTCCAAACAAACTAACAAGAAGGAAAGGGCAAGAAAAGAGCTTAGAAAGAAGGAAGTGTTGGTGTCCTCAAAAAACCTTATTTTGATGCTCCGAGCAGGGGAGGGTCAGTTGTATTGGTGAACCCTCATCTTTACTGTGCTTTACGCTGAGGTTGGGTCGCAGCATCCCACAAACAGCCAACACCTGCCAGAACTGTCTTCACTTGAATTGCTTTGAGTACCAGGGGCCTCCATGCCATCCTTAGTCTTGTGGTGTGGGTGTTGGAAAGGATCCCTTCCCCTCCCCCAACAGATTCCTGAGATTATATCCCTAAAATGATGGAGCTGGGGGACAGTGTCTCCCAGATTCCCGGGTAGTGTGGGCAGTACTCACTGAGGTCTGTTCGAGTGCAAGCACCCGCCTTTGAATTCCCATGGCTTCCTGAGTGTTAATGACCCTGTGGGAGGGACTGGATATCCAGCTTGCTCTTTGTGTTCTACTGCAGCAGTGAAGGGAGACATGTGATCCAGAGCTTGACCTACCTGCTGACCTGAAGCTCGGAGCTATGACTCCAGGGTTACTATCAGTCGATGGGATCTGCTCTTGGCTACTGATCACAGAGCATTTCCCTAAGAACTCCCCTGCCTGAGCGGAACCTCCTTCTACCCTGCACCTTTTGGCTGGTCAGTACTGCCTCTCATGTTCTTTACAGTTGCCTCCCAGGGCCTTCCTTCACCCTGGGGCAGTAGCAGGCCAAATGAAGTCTCCTGGGCCTCTCTTGTTCTTTGTTCTCAGGCCTCCGGCATAGCTCAGCTTTTAACTGTAGGTTGCCTCTCAATATGGCCGCTGCTGCTCTCTAAGTCATACTGTGTGTCAAAATGGGGTTCTTCATGCCTCTCCTCCATGTGCTGGAGTGAAGCCAGCCGCTGGAACTGGACTGTCTCTTGCTTGGCTTCCCTTAGGAAATAACTTCTGTTTCCCTTTCCCCTTGGGTTAGTTACTTTTCTATTCCTGTGATAAAACACCAGGAGCAAAGCAGCTCGTAGAAGAGAGGGTTTGTTTGTGGCTTACAGTTCCTGAAGCCTGGAATCCATGATTGCCGAGCAGAGGTAGAAGGGGCAGGCAGCTGGAACCAGAGCTGACAGTTTCAGGTGAAGTCATATCTTCAACCACAGAACAGGAAGCAGAGAGGGCTGACTGGAAATGACCTGGGGTTTTTTGAAACCCCAAAGCCTCCTGTGACAGACTTCCTCCAGTGAGGCCACACTCCTAATCCTCCCCAAACAGCCTCCAGGTAGGGAGGAAGGTTTCAGATGTCCAAGATTATGGGAGACCTCTCTTTCAAAAGACCACACCCTGCCTTCGGCTGCCTGCTGGCTTTGGATTACTTCTTCAGGTCTGTCACTCATTGTTCTATGCTTTTTAGCTATCCTTTCACTACGTTAGAGGATTTCCAAACTCTTCCTCTCCCATTTTCAATGTGTCTGCAGGTACTTGCAGAGGCCAGAAGAAAACTTTGAGCCCTCTAGAGTAGGAATTACAGGTGGTTGTGAATGGCCCAGTATGAGTTCTGGGAACCGAGTTCCAGTCCTGGGCAGGGACAGCAAACATGAACTGCTGAGCCTTCTCTCCAGCCTCTCCCCTCTTTCTGAAATAGAATCCATATTTCCTTATTCTGACTCTCTTCTTCATCAGATTCCATGGAGGAATGTGTTACCCTGTCGTTTTCCCGGGAAGATCACCTTTACTCCAAATACCTCAATTAGAAGACTCAGAAATGTTTAGGCCTCTTTTCCTAAGGGAGAACCCAAGGATGACAGGCATTGAGTTGCCTAGGAAAACGGCCATCCCAACTCCCAGTCCACTTCCACTGAGAGGGGTGTAGGCATCTGGGAGGCAGGGAGTGAAGAGACTTCAGAGAAAAGAGCTTCCCAGGAGGCTCACCCTTTAACGACTATCAGACTCCTCATTGGAGAATAAGTATTTTTCCTGTAGACCTGCCCGGAATACCTGTATGTCTTCATTAATCACTAGTTGATTCCTTTTCAGTAATGAACTATGTACTTTGTTGACCTCTGACTCTTGGGGTACAACACAATGCAAATGTATTTAGAATATGATGAACAGCATCTATCTTGTTATTTAAACTACAGAAATAACAGGTATTTCTCATCTACTTCTTTGTCTAGGGAGTTTTCTGCTCAGTCTGAGGATCTGGTTGGTAAGAAATTATAGTTGTCCTTTCTCACCCATGAGCACTGAATCTATGAATTCATCCATCTATGGGTCAAGATTCTGAATGCATATAGGCTTTTTTTAAGCATTCTGTAGACAATGCATTATAACAACTGTTTACTTAGGATACTTGTTATTTTAGGTCCTAAACTTGGGCCCAGTGGTGCATACATATCAATGTGAGTGAAGCTGAGCAGAAAGATGGGAGTTCAAAGCCAGCCTGGGCTACATAGGGAGCTCATATCTCAACACACACACACACACACACACACACACACACACACACACACACACACAAGAAAAATCTATTGTATTAGGTATCATAACTTAGAGTTGACTTATGAGGGGTAGATGTGCATAGATTATAATCAAATACCAAGCCATCCATTTTATAATAAGAAACTTGATCGTATTCTGATTTTACTATCTGTAGACTGCTCATGACCAGTCCCTTTCCAATACTGTAGAGTTTTCAACCCTTCACCCAAGTTTCCCAGAGGTGCAGTCCGAGAATGGTCACCTCCTGAATCATGAGCTCCAGCTGTTTTAGACACTAGGCAGTGAATGAAGCAAGTGGTCTCACCAGCTATACATTACTTGGAAGGCAGTCTGCCTTCAGGACTTTACAGTTTGTAAGACATCTGCCGTGGCCCAGAGACTTGTGTCATCACCACCAAAAAAAGCAGGAGCAGGCACTTCAGAGAAGCAGAATGACCTTCCGTTAACCAAGAGCATGACTGAAGGTCAGATTGAACGTCCAGGTCCTTAGCTGTGGTTCGGGGAGGCAGAGGGGGACGGAAAGAGAGAAAGAAGTCCACTAAAGTAGCTGCCTGGTGTTTGAGAACAGACACACACGCCGCAGACAGTTCTGCTTTGATGCCAAACAGCTGCGTGACATTGAACTTTATGTGGCTGAATTTAGAAACATGTAAATTCGTAGTGTTTGATCTTATCTGCGGAGCGAGAAGGTAGTTTGTGGGTAGCAGAGTTTTTCCTACAGAGTGCTAATTTCCTACGACATTCCCACCTACAGTGAGTGACAGTGAGCACTGCGGGCCAGACAGTATGTTCCTGATCTTAAAACATAATTTAGAAGTGTGTGTCCATAAACAGATAGCTGTATTATTTATTGTCCACTGAAGTCTAAATAACACAGGGCCACGTTTCTTTTTTTAAGTTGTGTTAAAAAAAAAAAAAAGACAAAAAAGCCCATGGTGATTTCCACAAGCAAACAAAAGAGAGAAGAGCTTGCCAGTGTGCGATGCTTTGTTTGTTTTTATTTTTAATCTTCTCGGGTTGAACTCATGGTCTCACGACAACCGGAATGATTTTGAAAAGTTAACAAAAAAGGCTTTTCGTGTGATAGGTAGGAGATCTGGTGGAGGAAGTTAGCACCTGAGGAAAACAGCTGGTAAATGTATTCACTTTGGTTCCATTTTCAATGTGCCAGTGCTCTTCAGGTTACCATGGTGATCATACCTGCTGTTCTGAATTTCCATTCCTAGGAAACAGGGAACATTGTGAGTACTAGGAAGGACACGATTAAAAATCCGTTGAGTATTATTTTCAATTACCCATTTAAAAGCACCCCTGTTTCTTTCCCTACATCTCTCCCCACCGCCTGCCTCCTATTTTGGGTTATTTTGGGTTTTCTTTAGTGAGGAGATTGAAACATCTCCAAATACAAATTGTACGAGGAAAACGAAGAAGCCTGTTTAGCCGGAAGTCCTAGTGCACAGCCGTGGGCGTGACGTCACAGCATCGCTAAGGAAACAAGCAACCAGGGCTCTGAAATGAGCACGGGTCAGCAGGAGCCGGCCTAGAAAGTCACCCAGCGCCGGAGGAAGCTGTGGACCCGGAAACACTCTTGGAGGTGCAGTATGTCTTCTGTCCAGTGACGTTCACTCTTCACGCTTGAGCAGACAGGGCTGCAGAAGCAGCTCCCAGGTACAGGGTGCTCTCAGTTAGCCTAGGCAAGACTGGGGCTTGCTCCCAGCATTGCAAAACAAAATAAATGAAAATTAAAAAAAAAAAATGAAAGATTCAACAGGGATGCTGGGAGAGCTTTTCCTCCTAAAACCAACTTGCACTGGGAATTTATAGTCAAATAGAAAAGAATTTCTAAACACTATAAAAGCAACCAGCAAATTTTACGTGTGTTGCTCCTTCCTACTTTTAAAACACTAAAGTCCTTTCAGCTCTAATGAAAGGTATCCAGAGTCAGACCCGAGTAGCCCGAAGTACCCTGCTATTTACATTTCTAGGTATTGGCTGTACAGCACAGTTGGCCTGTGTAAGAAATAGTACTCACTCAGTTCACACTCAAGATTCTGAAAAAGAGCTGCAGAGATGGTAGTTAAGTCAACCTGCTGTTCTTGAAGGATGCCTTTCCTAGTACCCACATCACGTGACCCACAGTGAACTCCAGTTCAAGGGGATACAGTGCCCTCTTCTGGCCACTT